GCAAGACTAGTACTACAACACGTGTGTACCCTTTATCCAGATACAGCCACATTTCCTTCCACCTCTATCTCCGTGTGCGTATAAAATTACACATGACACGCACAAGCCTTTTTGCTGAACATTTTGAGGCTTGGTTGTACCCATCACGATGCTTCATTTCCAAATACCCCGGCACATGAGCCTCCTAAGAGCAAGCGTACTTCCCTATATACACACGCAGGAACGCCAGCGCTGAGAGAACACCGTTAGCTAACATTTGATTCATATTTAAATTTCCCCAATTGTCTCGTAATGTCTATTATGGTCTCTTTTTCTCAATCAAGGATCATACGCTGCATCTGGCTGTCATATCGCCTCAGTCACCTTTAATCTGCAACGGTTTTCCAGGGTTTTTGGGGATGGAATGGGATCTTAATGACACTGAGAATGTTAGGAGTCAGGCCAGCTGTTTGGCGTCATGTCCCTGAATCTGGACTTGTCCGATTGTTTCCTCAGAATTGTCGCGATTACTCAGGGCATCTCTAGAACACCTAACGTCATTTGAACCCTTTATAGGTAGTGACTGTACTTAAGAAAGTATTTTTTTGGGTGAAAGATATTAAATTAGTAAAGAAGATATAAGTAATATATAGGATGAAGGTGAGTGGGGAAGTGTTAGTTGAAAAAGGGCAAATAAAGGAGAAAGAATGGAAAGAACAAAGTGGAAAGGAAATCTGCACGAAAAAAAGAAAGAGGAAGAATAGAAGTCCAGTCCGTGAAGGAAGGAAAGCGAGGGAGGCCATCTTGCTGTCTTGCACCAAATGGCCTGACGGCTCCAAGACAGAGGCAACTTGATCCGCAATAAGAAACATTCGATGCACGATAAGAAATAATATAAATGCATGTGTCCCAAATACTTAATTTTACTAAAAGTATTTATGATTCACATCTTAAATTAAGGTTTCAAAACTCTTTTCTCTTTAGCTGCCAGACTGGAAGCTGCTTGTTTCTGCTCATCTGGGTTTTTCCCTGGACTTTTTCTTAACTTTACTCTGCAAGATTTTCTTCTATGACATTAAACCCCAGAACTTCAAGGTCAGGGGGATGCCACAGCCTTGGGGCCAAACAGGTATTTGTCAGGATCATTAAAACTCTGTCTTTAACATGGTGAATTTAATAAAAAGTTTTAAAAGCAATTAAAATATACACACATTAATATGTGTAATCTATAAAATACCCATATGTTGATTATTTATTTTGTAAGACGATTCAAATCTATTCCTTCCAAATTTATTTTCCTATGTATTAACTCGGCTACGTAATTCTGACAAACAAAATCAGAAGGATTTTTAATGACTAAATCACCAACTCACTACCTACCCATATGAGAAATAAAATGCATCCACAGAAATAGTAATTCTTAAAGAAAACATCTATTTCATTAAACTTGCTGAAACCGTGAGCCTTCCTACCAGGACCTGCACGGTTCTCAAACACAATTGTTGTCCTGTCTCATCCAATTTCAATTAGTCATCATGATACAGCTAAGAAACTTTTTAACAACAATCAGCAAAGACTCCGTAGGATCCTGCCTAAATTCTTGACATTTTTCTCATTGCTTTCTGCAAAAGCACTTGCACAGAAGCCGATCACAATGGAAACAATCAGTGAATTATTACCAGGCCACATACGTCCTCAGCTGTGTGTGTGTGTGTGTGTCTGTGTGTGCATTTGCCAGGTTCCCTCCAGAACTAAGATTTGGTTCTCTTCCCAATCTTCCACCTCTTTCCTTTTTCTACACAAAGGGCAACATTGATTAACAATTAAAATTACTTGCCAAGAGTTATGAAACGTATCAACGCATGAAAAATATTCTGCTTCTGACCACATGTGAGCGTGTGAGTTTTATGGGTCTTATGTAGGTAGGTTCAGAAGGGCAAGGGCTTTGTTTAAACAGTTCTCCAGACGACATTCGATCACCTGAGTGCCCCATTATGTCTTCAGAATAGCCGGTCTACAAATGTGGTATTTAAACCCACGTAGATTTTTAATATCGAAAACGTAATTTATTATGGAAGTGCTGCTTTCTCTTGGAACTCTCTCTCTACCCACCCTCCCCTCCATTCCAGGGGAAAGCAGTGAAGAACTGAAATGAGAAAACATAATTAAAATCAGATTCTTCCCCTGGGGGGGTCAACCTAATTATCAGCCTCTCACCCCAAAACAAATTTACCTCTTTAAGAATGAAGGTCTTCACCACTCATGGGAAAAACATAAACAAAGATTAAGATGCCATTTGGGTACCACGGTAATCTTTCATTTTTAAGCGACCTCTTAGTCTAATGGATTCAATGCGTCCCCATTCAAGTGAAATATATTTTGCAGGAGAGAACTGTGATAAATGGTACTGTCATGACCCTTAGGTTAGAGCAAAGGAATATTGGAAAATAAATCTCAATTCTGTATACTCACCAATCCTGCAATGGGGGTAGGCAATCTATTGATCTTTTTAACAAGTCCTGGCTTTATGGCATTCAGCAACCTGTCACGAAAAAGGCAGAATGTCAAGCGAGACGTAAAGCAAGATGGATCACACAAATCACCTTTATCCAGGGCTACAGCTAAATTGCTGGATAGGAAAAGCAGTGCATTTAGAGCACGCAGTAAATCTCAGTAATCTATCAGCCTGCGTGCATGTAAGTAAAGAGCTTTGCTGACATCAAGTTTGTCCGCGGCAGGTGAGGTTTTGGAATCTGGAAATGCTGGAGAGAAGAAAGCGCAGAGACTGGGAGGTGCTTCAGGGGAAAAGGCAAGGCTGTAGGTTGGACCGAGGTGGGGAGGGAATTGTCTAGAACTGGAGCCAGGTATTACAAGTCAGGTGAGGCCGGTTGCCAATTCTCCTGGCTAAGGCTGGGGTCTCTGCAGGGATGTGCTGAGTTTAGAGGCCAACATGTATCTTTGCAAGTGACCTGCCAAGACAAATTCCACCTCCAGACCCGCTTCGCTCTTGGAGGAGAGTGGCTTGTTAAATGTGGCTGAGCTTCACTCTTTTAAAAAAGGAAGAGTATGTTCAATAGGACGTTGACCAATCATATTCCGAAAACTTGTAACAAGGCTGACCACGATTCCCTAAGCACGAAAGATATTTGAGCAAAAGATTTTCAGGGTAAAGGTTGAAATTATGCAAAAAAATGAAACAAGCAAGGGAATGCAAGAGAAACAACCATAACTTCTTGGTCTTCAGGAAATATTGATTCAGGATGAAGAGAAATAAGAAAGAAAACTTGTAAAACTAAAATACGGTTAGCGTCAGGGTCATGGGGTAGAGTACAGTCTTTGCAAAACTGATTATTCATAAAACAGTAATTGAAAGTAAGGGGTTGTAGAATGGAAGCATTTATTTCTATATTCAGGAATTACACAGACAACCAGGTAACTTATCTTGGAACATCAGGCAAAGAGAAACTTAGGGCAGGAGTTTATTATAATTCAGGGGTCAGCAAACTATGACCCATGAGCCAAATCTGGCCCAACACCTGTTCTTGTAAATACAGCGTTACTGGAACACCGCAATGCCCCTTCCTTTACGTCTTGCCTGCGGCTACCTTTGTGCTAGAACAGCAGAGTTCACTAGTGACCACGGAGAACCCGTGGCCCACAAAGCACACAGGTTTCGCTATCTGGCCATTTACGGCAAGTTTGCTGACCTCTATTACAATTCGTGTCATTCAAGATTCTAATAAATTATGAATAAATTCTGTTTGGTGGGTTTCTATGAATCAGTAAGAAAATTTCTTTGAAATAGTTTAATGGTCTTCAATTCAGATTATATTTGACTTTGACACCACTGCATATGTAATATATGGAGAAAGGTCCCTACGGCGGTTGTGACAAGATACTCTGTTCTTGCAGCCAAGGTTAAGTGACGGTTCTCGGTAACCTCGACTGCAATTCCCACAGGCCGCGGCCGGCGAGTCACACTCAAGAATGACCAGGTGCCTTTCTGTCCTCCGCGAGCCAAGGTGGCCGCTCCGTTTTCACGAACTCACTTAGTTTTAACCGTGAATTTAATCTTTTTAAAAAGTGCTTCTTTATAACTCGTTTTGGAGATACTAGTTTCTCAAGTTGGAAGGCAACTTATTCACTCTTCCCATTTTACAGCTCATACAATTGAGGCCTGGTGCTGCCGGGTAACCTCCCCGAGCACGGTCAGGCCCAGGATTGGGTCAGGGCCTCTCTCAGGCAGTGTTAAAATCCCACACCTTCTGGTTTAAAAGACACAGATACATATGGTGTCTCCAACGCCAAGTTTTTAAATGCACAAAATTCTTAAGATACATTACTTTTCTCAGTGGTTCTTAACAGTGTCATTTTAAACTGAATTTTAAAATAATATTTGTGTTCAGTGTTGACAGTTCGCAAGAATCAAAAGGAGATACGGGAAAATGTAAGTCTAACTGTCACCTCCGTATGGCGAGGCCCCAGCCTGTTCCTGAAGGCACCCTGACAGACTTTCCAGGGGAAAATTCATACAAATACATATAATTTTTTAAAAAAGAAACAGATGTGGCATATAGTATGCACTGTCCTAGACCTTGTTTTTCCACTTAATAATATATTTTGGAGGTTGGGCAATTTACCTTGCAGAGAATGACTTATCAGTGCATAACTGAGTATTTTTTTTTTTACCCTAATAACACATAAAGAACAAACCACGTCCTCTTTAATCGCTGTGGGCCTACGGAACCGGGGGAGAGGTAAGACCACCGGCTCTGGGGTCCAAGGGACTGAATTCCAAGCCCAGCTCCGGCTCTCACTGGAGGGGCTGCTCTGGGCAAATCCACCAACCTCAGTCTTTACCTGTAGCACAGAAACACAGCGGGACCAGCTGCCCAGGGGCCAACGCGGCTTAAATGCAACAAAATATATAAGAAGCAAGCACAGAGCCTGGCACGTAAGTTCTCTGCAAACGTTTCTCTGTGTTTATGTGTAAGTATTTCTTTATAGCAATTCAACTCACAGCATTTTACATCAATCGTTTCTTTAATAATTTCAGATTTTTCTAATGAAATGAAATACCATTGCTCCCAGATACCTGAGCCTTGTTGCTAATTAGCCAAAGTGGAAACAATAGCAAAACACCCCACTCCAAAATTCACTATCTAAAAAAAAAACACACTCTCTTTTAAAGAGGCGCCCTTTTTCTTCTGTATCTAAGAACTATATTAATATTTTTAGTAATGATGGCTCCAACTCCACTTTCCCACATGTTCAGCTTCTTTGAATTGTCTGAAATAGTTCATCCTATTCATCCTTTGGGAAATGACCCCTACAGGGCAGGATCATTCCTATCACATGAAGTTGTAAAAATCAATCATCAATCAATTGAATTACAACACTAGAGCTTACCTGAAAGAACAAAAAACTACAACCTTTCTCAAAATATTTCACCATAAGTTAAAAAATAAAAAGTCATGATACTCTTAAACATTTGAAATGTTTTCAAGATTGAGGCAGCTGTACTTTTTCATGTGAATATTGCTGCAACCCTGTACACAGCTTACAGCACACAACAACAAAAGATAACATTGAATTCACATTGTCAAAATGCCCAACACCTGCTTATCTCGTATTTTGCATTAAACTGAGAACATTTTTTGTATATGAGTTTTTTTGAGTAAGAGTCAACTATATTCACTTGCAATTTTATTAAAAACTACTATTGGTTTCCCGTGTAAATTAAAATATAAATATTTTCAATAAATACGTATTGGTAAAATTCTTTGAAGTGATGAAGCTGATGACGCTATTTTGTATTTATGGAACTTTTGAGGCTCATTATTCCCCCAAGTGCCGCCCTGTAGAGACAGATCCTGTGTCCGTCCCCCCATTTTTGTAGAAGGAAAAAACTGAGCCCCAAACAGCTGTGAAGACTTCTCCAGAGACGGACACCGCTTGTCGGCAGCACGGCCGGAACGGTGTTCCCCTCTCGGCCAACCCATTTATACTGCAATTCGGTGCTTTAGAAAGTCCAGCTTCAGCATCTGCCACCGAAGCACAACTCAAAACAAAACAGTCAAAAACGCAAAGAAATGCTATCCAAATGCAATGGGGTCACATCAACACCAGGCAGGAGAGAAGGAAAATGAGGAGCGTCTGCTGGGAGACGGTTATTGTACGAGAAACATCGGATCCGGGTCCTGTCTGTGGATGATCTGAACATCATCACCGGGAGGTCCAGAGGGGAGGAGACCGTCACCCCCTGGGCAGAACAACTCCACTCAGCAGAGCGGGACACCGACTTCCCGCCGCGGTCTACGCTTCCCAAAACCTGTCGCTCGAAGGCCTGAACAGGTAGTTGACCCTCTCCGGATAGTAACAGACCATCTTTGTATTTATCAAAAGACGTTTCTGGGAAATCGGCATAACCCTACGCAAAAGAACAATTGGGCGTCGGTACCATCCATGTCTGCCGTGCTAAATACCCACAACTACAAACAAAAATAAAGGACATTTAAAATGTCCAAGACGTGGGAGCCAGTTAGTAGGAACTATTTCCAGATAGTTAGTATTCACCGTTTATCCAGCGATTCTTCCCCAGGTACACGCTGTGTGTTTGTTGTACGTGACTCCAGGCCCAGGTAAGGAGTCTAGATTTTTTTCTAAGCTCAGTGTGAAGCATCAGAAGATTTTTAATATGGAGACTGAGATGATCTGATCTACATTTTTAAAACATCACCATTTGCAAATAGGTATAAAAATAAATTTATAACGATATCCATATGGAAATTTTCTGCCTATTAAAAATCGTAGGTATCAGAAAGCATAGACAAATAAAACATCACAAATATTAATAACTTATAACATTCAGCTTGATGAGGAGGAAGAGGCAGTGAATTTAGAGTCAGCAGTTAACAGATAAGCCCAACACATTGGGCTCCAGGTTACTGGGAAGTCGCTTGATCGAGGTCTCAGCTTCCCTTTTAATAAAATGGGGACCTAAAATAAACCTCACCTCCCACCCGGGATTACGGTGGGATGGGGTCTGTTGCTAGCATTTGATAAGTGAAAACCTGCATATTTATTCATTTAGTGCACCGAGCATGTCCCTTTCTGCTAGGTAAACGCAAGCTATTTTATTTCACCTTTTTCATCAGCCAGCTGCCAAAGACTAAAATAATTTTACCTGTTCTCTTTTTCTGGCCACCTTTGGACAAAAATCTCGCATAAATGAATCAAATCAACAACTGTGTATAGTTTGCCTAGCACATGTCTGGCAAGAAAAAATTAGAAGCAGGAAGAAAAGTTACGGTCTTAGATAATCCTCAATTACGAAAGAAGTTAATGGCATGGAGGGTAAGCAAAAATAAATATGTTACGATGTAAATTGAATGGCGTCTACTAAACTTTTATTTTCTAAATCTGAAACACACCGTGACCCATTTCAAGTAAGGCTATCCAGATGTCCCCTCGCGCACTCAACAAATATTTACCGACGTAGGCGGTGTCTGGTCTAAAGCTGGGCGCTAGAGATGGAAAGGA